AGCCCCGGATTGAGGCAAGGCCTCCCTTAGAAAGATGTTCTAAGTTGAAAACAGGACTTGAGCCTGAACCCTGCACGGGCCCCCCGGTTTCAGTGTGACCCTTGGGGAGACCGGTTCTCTCTATGTGATTTGGTGAAGGGGGCTTGAGGCCATGGGGATGGTGTGAACATTATCTCTAGGGATGGGACAGGCAGATCAAATTGGGGCTAGTGGATCAAGTAGGAGGAAACATGGCCACATCTCAAAAATAGTAAGAATAACAGTGCTTTGAAAAGCCCCTAGAATAAGCACCTGTCCAGAGAGGTCGCTGCTCAGAGAACTGGCCTTTTAGTGGCTGAGATTAGACACTTATATTGGGGAGAGATTATGACTATTTGCATTTTCAGACCCCTGTGCAAACTGATGTAAATCTGAACAAAAACTAGATTGGGAGACTACTAGGTGCAATGTAGGGAGTACAGTAGGAAATCTAGAGAGGATGATGAAGCCCTTCAAGCGCAAAGTGAAGACTACAGTTTGGGGGAGGGGGGCTGACAGGCATGGAATTATAACACAGAACAACAATTTTTTGAGCTCCTGGTACATACTAGGCTCTGAGGGGTAACACTGGCTAATCAGACACAGTCATTGCTCCCAGGGAACTTGGTCTCTAATGGAGATAAGACATGGATACAAATAACTGAAATGCAAGGTGGGAAGGACAGTTAAAGTGCTGTGGGAGATCAGGAGGGTGGCTCAGGGAGGAAAGGGAGACAAGGAGCACAATTAAGCAGGGTATGAAGGCGCAACATGAAGAATGCTGAGAATGGAGAGAAACAGTGATCTGGGAGCTCAGACCTAACATGGCAACCAAGGAGGAGCCTGTGGCTGGACCTTAGAGGAGGATAGGCAGAAGCTCTGTGGAGTGGTGATGTGGCAAGACCCTTACCTATTGTTTCAGCTGGCCCCACAACCTGACCCTTCTCTGATGTCATAGCCTTGGCCCTTTGGTATCTTAGTAGCCTTTTCTGATGGATAAGTTCTGTTACCTCTTTAGCTGCTCAGTTGCTTGTTCTTGTCCTTCCTAATCAGAAACCGACCAGAGGGCAAAGTTTTGGAAACAGTTGGTGTGTTTGAGGTGCCAAAACAGAATGGAAAATACGAGACTGGGCAGGTGAGTGCTGGGCTGGGTCATCTTTCATTTTCATGGTGTAGCTCTGTTTCTGAAAGGGTCAGATTTGGCTATAGGATTGAATGTTTTGGTTTTCTGCCTTGGTGTTTGGTGCCAGACCAGAATCACAAATGTTTAAAGGTGGGTTTCTGTTTTCCTGGATTTGAACGCATTTCATGTATCAGTGGGTTCTCTGTCCAAATTAGTGTGGACAGAGATGGTTTGGACTATAGCGAGGAGAAAGTCACGTTACTGAAGAGTCCTCTAACATTGTGGGTGGTGGGAAGCCAGTGTAGGGAGTGTTCAGAAAAGCACACCTTTGGTGCTTTATTATCATAGTTGAGCTCTTCCACAGTGTTGTAAACTCTCGGTCTGAGGCTCTTTTTCTCTATCAGCTTTGTGCCAAATGCACTGAGATAGATTTAGGCTTCTTGTAGGTAAGGAGGACTTTTTGTTTTTTCCAACATTTTGTATACCTACAATGGACTGGGCATTGTGCATTGGAGTTAAATCAGAAAGCAGTGCCTTTGTGGACTTGACAGTTTAGAAAGGGATTATGATATGCAAATGGTCAATGGCTGTGCACTGGGCTAAGTGGAGGGGAGGTCAGGGAACACTTCTTAGAGGCCTACATACTGGCCTGAAGGATGAGTAGAAGTCAGCCAGGAAGGGAGAGGGTAAGAGTGTTCTGCAGTTGGGTGGATCACGGAGTTCAAGGAAGAGTGCCAAGACCGTGTGCTGGAGTTGTCACACCTGTGCTGCTTTGTGGTCTGGGTCCCACCTGCATGCACTTGCTGGCTCACTGAGGCCTCTCTTTCCTCCCAGCTTTTCCTTCACAGTGTTTTTGGCTACCGAGGTGTCGTCCTATTTCCCTGGCAGGCCAGACTCTATGACCGGGACGTGGCTTCTGCAGCTCCAGAAAAGTAAGTTGCCCTGCATTGTGCCTCACAGTGTCCTCAGAAGGAGGCCTGACTCGTGACAGATGTAATTGGGATTCTAGGAGTAAAGATAGCATCTTCCTGGGCCTTAGGAACAGCCCCAGAGTACTCCCTGGTACTAATGCTGAGTGCCAGGGACAGTCTTAAGCAGAGGATCCCTTTAGGCCTCTGCAGGATACTCTCCCAAGCTATTCTCGGTTTGCATTATAATTACCCAGAAGGCATTGGGGGACTAGCCATCTTGATTTCTGGACATTCAGTTAGAATCTTCCCCTTAATCTCTTATCATCATTAGAATACATTAAAAAACAAAAGGCCCAGCTTCATTCAGTGACCACAGACAGCCCCTGGAATGTGAGAAGTGTAGGGTACTCGGGCTCTAGGGACTGAGGCAGGAATTTGATTTTCTCAGCATCTGCTCCTTCTTCCAAGAGGCAGCCAGAGAGGACAAATGATGACTCTGTGCCATGGGTCCTCCACATTCCATTGTTTGCCCCTGACTGGGGAGCAGCTGGGCTGGGTGTTGCTAAAGCCCCTTCAGATCAGGCACCAGTTTAGATGAGGAGGGACTGGGGTGGGGAGCTGGGGCAGACACTGATTCGGTTTCTCTTCGGGTGATCTTGGGCTTCTACCCTGTAGAGCAGAGAATCCTGCTGGCCATGGCTCTAAGGAGGTGAAAGGCAAAACTCACACTTACTATCAGGTGCTGATTGATGCCCGAGACTGTCCACATATAGTAAGTAAGCAAGAAGGCTGGGCTTGGGGTTCCTTTCCATGGGAAAGGCCTGAACCCCAATGGAGACTAAGGGAGGGAGAGGGCTCAGACAGCCCAGATCAGTACTGGTCCCCAAGTCCTCAGGACTGGAGAGTGACTAAGAAAGGCTGACTTGCTTCTTGCCTTAGTCTCAGAGATCTCAGACAGAAGCTGTGACTTTCTTGGCTAACCATGACGACAGCCGGGCCCTCTATGCCATCCCAGGTGAGTATGAGCATCTGAATTGTGCCTGTCAATGTGGGGTTTGGTGTGTCTCAGGGAGATGATTTGGATGCCTTTCTGATGTCCTCTAATCTGCTGGGAGGGATTATAGATGCTGAGAGCTATGGTACCAGGGTTATCCCATCCTAGGACAAGGCCAGGAATTGTGTTTCTTCTCAGCCCTGTTCCTCCCCTCTCCTACATGAGTTTCACTGTCTCTTTGCCTCTTTGTGCCAGGACTGGACTATGTCAGCCATGAAGACATCCTCCCCTACACCTCCACCGATCAGGTTCCCATACAGCATGAGCTCTTTGAAAGATTTCTTCTCTATGACCAGACAAAAGGTAATCTTTCAAGAAGAGAAGCTGGGGAAGGAGGGCCCTTTCTTCAAAGATAGTATTGTAGAAGTAATTTCAAAGCTCTGTTTCCACAATTTTATTCAGCCTCCCATTAGACCTGTCAGGTGGATGGCTATGGAAACAGGCTGAGATGAGAAGGGACTCAAGATTTCTAGTTAGTGGCAGAGCGAGGTCTGAAAACCAGGGTTCTTAACTCCCAGTCCAGTTCTCTTCCCATGATGCCACATACCTTCTCAGGGCTTCTTGGAAGCAGCTCTGTGCCTTCTAGCCTGTGTTTTGCTTCACATTTGGGTGTCTTGTTTACCTGGGCCACCACTGGGAAGGGTTTTCTAGGAGGGGCAGTTGGAAAGTGGGTATAATGCCCTGGACTCTGTCTGGACTAACCAGTCATCCTTTTGCCCCAGCACCCCCTTTTGTGGCTCGAGAGACACTACGGGCCTGGCAAGAGAAGAATCACCCCTGGCTAGAGCTCTCCGATGTCCATCGGGAAACAACCGAGAACATCCGTGTCACTGTCATCCCCTTCTACATGGGCATGAGGGTATGTGCCCAGCATGGCCCCTTTCCTTAGGGCTAGGCCCCCAGATTCTCTATGGTATTCCCAATGTGACTGCTGGAGCAGATTCCACATTTCAAGCATGTGCCTGTGCTTGTGCATCTGAGTCCTCCATGTATTGGGTGGGGTTGAGCAGCCTCTTGGCAATGGCTGACACCAAGACCTAGAGCAGGGAAACCTTTGGGTCCCAGGAGGAGTCCTCCAGGCTGATTCTTCCTTCTCTTCTGGCTCAAAGGGAGCCTTGTTTATGAAGAATATACACATACTTGTCTAAATCATTGTAGGCTGATCCTCATACTTTTTATGCATTAGTCAAATATTTTTTGAACTATTTCTTGCCTGGCTGTAAACTAGGTCCTGGGGATAAAGATGAAATAATACATTGTCCCTGCCTTCCAGACCTCATGGTAGTGGAGGATGTCAACATACACCATACCAAGTAACGTAATAAGGTTGGGCTATGGTAGGGCCGAAGAGGAGGGCAGTGGCCTGGGCCAGCAGTGAGGGGTAGGGAGCAGCAGCTGGCAGGGATTTGGTCCAGAGAAAGGGATGAGTCCTGTGAATAAGAGGAAAAGAGGCCAGGGATGGACCCAGGGGAGGCTGTCCCCTCACAGTGGGCTTGTTGGCTGTAGTTCAGTCATCATCATCCACAGATACAGCATTGTTCTGGCTCTGCAGCCTTCCTGGAATATGTCTACTCCACTGGAGAGATGTTGAGTGGAACACACTTGATCCTGCCCTCTTCTCTGGGACTTAAATTCTTTTTTCCCCCCCCAGGAAGCCCAGAATTCCCACGTCTACTGGGTGAGTGTCTTCCCCAGGGTAGGAGGACCTGAGGAGGGGTGCATGGGGGGACAAATTAGATAAGGGAGTTTACGTCTGGGGAGTGGGGCCTGTGCAATGCAGGTGTCAGCCTTTTTTGCCTTTTGCGCTCTTAGAAATTTGGGCAGACTAGTCCAAAGTTTACTTTCTCAGATGTGAACTCTCTCCCCCACTCCCACAGTGGCGCTACTGTATCCGCTTGGAGAACCTTGACAGTGACGTGGTACAGCTCCGGGAGCGACACTGGAGGATATTCAGTCTATCTGGCACCTTGGAGACAGTGCGAGGCCGAGGGGTGGTGGGCAGGGTAAGCATCATCATTAATGGGCCAATAATTCCCAGTTCCTGGTCCGGCCCAGCAGGCTCGGGGGCTTAATGTGTGGTTTCTTCCTCCTCTGTGGTTAGGGACAGAGGCTCTGGGTGTGAATGCATTGGTGAGAAACATTACAACTCTGTGAGATAGGTTTCTTACAACCCATTTCACAGATGGAGAAAATGAGACTAAGTTAAATAACTAGCCTATGGTCCCATAGCTAGTGGTGGTAGGACCTAGATTGGAATCCAAGTAAGTCTGAAATTGAAGCTGGTGTAGCCCTAACCATCGTGGCTCAATTGGTTGGAGCACCGTCCTGTGCACTGAAGGGTTGTGCGCTCGATTCCTGGTCAGGGCACATACCCACATGGGTTCAGTCCTCGGTTGGGGCATGTACAGGAGGCAACTGATTGATGTTTCTCTTTCTCCCTTCCTCTCTCTAGAGCCAATGAAAAACATCATTGGGTGAGGATTAAAAAAAAAAGCTGGTGTCGAGTTTTTGCCAGCACAGAGCCTTTTTAAAAATTGAATTTGAATGCCCTTAGATGGGGCATGCACCCCCCACTACTCCTGGTGTCCGTTTGCCTTTTTACATGCTTACATCTTCTGCTGGTCCTTGAGATCTGATTTTTCAATTCCTGTACTACCCCACCCTATTTCCTGAGGAATAAAGTCATGAAAAGTGGGCAGGGGTCACATTTAACAAGCATTTATCTAAATCAGCAGGGACTTAGGGAAACAGGGTAGGATAGAGAGTAAGGATAGGGCTTTGGAGTTGGGTAGTCTGGCTTCAAATGCCACCTGTGTTCTTCACTCACCATGACTTTGGGTAAGTTATTTAACCAAAATCTCAGTTTCTTACTGCTGAAATGGGGATTATATCTATTACCTTATGAGTCCTTGGAGACTTGAGTTAGCCAGGGTTTGCAGAGCACTGCCATGGGGCCTTCCACTTAGGCACTCAGTGAATGGACGCTGGGAGGGGTATTTACAAAGTAGGTCCTGTGCTTAGCATCTCTGCCCGGTGCCCTCAGATCTTTCCCAGAGTTAGAATAAAAGGCCTAGGTCCATGGCTGTGCAGTGGCGGAAGCACTGGCAGGCTGTCATTGTGGGAGGCATGAGGGGGCATCCAGTCCTGATGAACTGGCAGTAGCATCTGTCCCCAGGGTACAGGGAGCTTGTCTGGCCTGACCTGTTTTGCCTGAACCCTGACAGGAACCAGTGTTATCCAAGGAGCAGCCTGCATTCCAGTACAGCAGCCACGTCTCCCTACAAGCTTCCAGTGGGCATATGTGGTGAGTGAGCATGTACTGGGGCTGGGGCTGAGGCAGGGGCAGTTTAACCACAGACACAAGCTGCAGGTCAGAAAAGTGGGAGCTCATAGCTTGCAATTAACCCTGGGCCAAGTTAAGTCCTGAGGCGGAACCTTACCTGCCATTCATTGTTGGGGGGGACTCGTCTGATTTTTTATGACTGTGTTTGCTGGTTCCCTGTGGTTTTGTGGACTAAGAACTTAAGCCAAAGAGGTCTGGTGATTTGATGATGCAGAGGTGCCTACATAGTTAATTTTCCCTCCTGGTATTTTACTCCTTAACCTGAAAGTATAGTTGGGTTTTTTATGCAGTGTGCATCTAAGGGTGAGAATCAGGACAGTTGTATTTTTTTCTTTCATGAGGGCCAGGAAGGGCTCTTGGGTCTCTGGACCAGTGTTATGCTGGCACGAGCGAGGCCTGCCCTATCCTGCTGTGGTTCTGGAGCTGAGGGCATAGGGCTACCCAGATCCTCAAGAGGGCCTGAGCCCTCCCTCCTTCTGAACTAGCTTCTCTGACCTACAGGGGTACGTTCCGCTTTGAGAGGCCTGATGGCTCCCACTTTGATGTCCGGATCCCTCCCTTCTCCCTGGAAAGCAATAAAGATGAGAAGACACCACCCTCAGGCCTTCACTGGTAGGCCAGCTGAGGCCGAGTGGCCAGGCTCGGTTCCTGAAGAATAGCACTCATCCCACAGTTGCTGCAGAACTCTTCATCATGGGCCACAGTGGGTCTCTTAATTGTCTGCACCATTTGAATATGGGGTTCTTTTTTTGGTGAGTGGGCTATAACTGTTTTCTCCAGAAGATCCATGTAGGACTCCTCCAAGGCTCACCTCCCCTGTAAGCCCAGCCTACATTGTGTTCCAGTAGAGCTTTCCACCAGGACCTCTGTGTTCAGCTGCCACACGCCTGGAGTTTCCTGGTCTGTCACACAAGTTGTTTGGAACGTGAGGTTTGGTCAATAAACCAGTGCACGCTTGGCCACCCTCGCTATTTCTGCCCCCAGGGTCTCATGCTCTCGTTTTGACCCAGAGGGGCCCCTTGATTGCTTTCCTTGCTCTCCTATCAGGAAGCTGCCCCTTCTACTAGGGTATGTATGTTTCCCTCCTGAGGCTTGGGGTTGGCTAGGCATCTCTCAGGATCACTGTGCCTCTCAGTCAGTGGGGTGGGGGCTGGGTTGGACTCTTGTTCTCTTTATCTTCTGCCAAGTGCGGAGTGGGAGGCCAACATCAGAGGCAGAGTGGCCTGACCCTTAGTGCTGGCCAACCACTGGCATCTCTGGCTTCATTGGGCCTGGGAGAGGAATGAGGGAAGCTAACCAGGCTTCCTGGAGCAATGGGCTTGCCAGGCACGTGCACAAATTTGTTGCGCCTCTAGACTACAAAGGTGGAAATTCAGCCAAGGAGCTTTAGGTATGGGTGGTGGCTAAGCCAAGCTACTTTGAGCTTTTTACAGATCTCCAAGAGCCAGAGATGAAATATGCTGCATTTTGCCCTGATTCTTAGGGTTCCTGCTTCCCCGCTACCACAGCAATTGTTAAACAGGCTATTCTTGAATTAATATTAATATTAAACCTCAGTTTCAGCCCTTATTAGTGTTGTCCTTAATCTTCCACCAGGGGGAGCCAGGGTTGCAGGACAGCTGAGTGCAATTGGACTTAACCACCTAGGGAGAGCACAAGGTCAGGCGGCGAACACAAATACAACAACCATGTCCATAGCAGCGAGCTGACCAAGCTTTACTCACTGTAAGCACAGCTCTGTACCACTGTAGTGTAACAATTTTATTAGAAATTAGTGTTTGTTTCCATCACCTATGCTGAACAACAAAGAATTGTAGTTGTATGATAAGTAGTTCCCTCCGGCCAGGATCTGTGCCATCTATGAGGCAGACCTTGGTCAGATAACAAACAATAAAACCCAATACTGGTATGTGTCCTTAACAGTAGGCTTCTAGTTTTCTGAGAAACTGATGAGAAGGTTTGACCTTCACCCACATTTTTTGTTTACTTTTCCCCTGGGCTGCTCAGAGTTGAAAAATTCATACAACCAAGAGCTGCTTTCTGAATGGGGCTGGGAAACTCAAAATTCTCCAAGCCCTTACACCACAAAGTCTAACTTAAAAGCTAAGATTACTTCAGTGAGCTCAATGTTAGTATTTTTCTTAAGAACAAGGAGATATTTTCAATCAGAGAAAGTGTCTTAGAGTTCCAGACTATCGTGCTCAGGAAGAAAGACTAGTCACCATTGAGACAGAAGAGGATTTGAATGTCAGAGCAGTAAAGATGCTACAGGGGCAGTGAAGGTCAAAGGACAGTCAAAATACTTCAGTGGGAAGCTGGGACTTTGAGTATTAAAGGGCTTCAGGAGGAGCTAAGGAATTAGGCCAGTGGCCTCAGAATTAATCCAGGCTCTGAGAAAGGCCCAAAACCAAAGCCAGAATCTGGCCCAAAATGGATTTGTCCTCTTACTACTCCACTGAGGGCTGGAAGAACTGTCATAGCAGATCACCAGGCTCCCTCACCTGAAAGTCTTTATACATTCAAAACTGTGACAAGTGTAAAATACCTGATTAGGGTCACATTTCCCTTGCCCCATTATGTAATTTCAGGTCCTTGTTGAGTGTCTCCTAACCCTGGCCAGGCATCTGCCTATAGGTTCTGTGGATCAGCCATGAACACAGCCACCTAGGGGCTTACTGTAAGAGTAGTTGAGATGCACTTGATAACCTATGTCCCTTCCCAAATGAGTGGGTATGCTGCTTTGTTATTTGTTAGACTGGCTGGACATTTCCTTCCTGATGGCATTCCTTTGGGAAGGAATTCAGATAAGCAGCTTCTCAAGGGCAAAGCCAAACAGAATGAAAACCAAAGCCCTAAAAACCAAAGCCCTGAAGAGGAACTTGTATCCTTGCCCAAGAGCTGGTGCTTGGCATCTCCATGACCAAGTTACCCAACAAGAAAGAAATGGAGAAACCTTTCAAGGGGCTTAGACTGCTCACATTATCCTGTGTTTAGAGACTCACCCAGGAAAGAACCACCATCCCCAGCCAGGACACAAAACCAATAGCATGGGTGGGGGCACAGGATGTATGGCCAAGCACACACAGTCTCTGCACAGGGCTGCAGAGAATGAACTCTTCAGTGCCCGTGGGCTCCATAGCCTTCCTGCTGTGGCTCATGCTCCTGGCCCCTGAAATGGCTCTTTGGCTTTACACTAAGGACAGCATGCCTTGGAGCTGAGGGCAAGAGAATCAAAAGGAGCGATCATGTTAGACCCTAGGGGTCAGTTATGTGACTAAGATGTTGGGGTAAAATGTCCTTTCTCACAGGGGCGTTATTAGAACTACAGGTCCCAACTTATACATCCTTCCTTAGCCTGCTCTGGGCAGGCTGCTTGGCCAGCCTGGCAAAGCCAAAACTGGTCATTGTTTTTACTGCTTCTTCTATCTCCTCCCTCAGATTGATTCTGCAGGGAAGAGGGGATCAGGATCAAAAAAAGACAACAGGTCAGGGAAGAATACAAATCTCCTGAACAAAAGTACAAAGTGCTTTAAAGAAACAGATCCCAAAGGAACTGAGACGGACCCAGGGTTCTGCCTTACCTAGGGTTCTGGCATCCTGCAGGGGTAGCAAAAATACCCAGCCCCTCACTATTAGACCTAAAACTATTCGTTTCCTAGATTAAAAAAAAAAATAATAACCTCATCAAGCCTGTGCTTAAACACCTTAGGAATAAAGGAGCCCCACCTTCCAAGAAACTGGGCCTCCACAGCACCAGCAGCCACCTTTTCCACAGAACAACCCCACTCCCCATGGGCCTCAGCTGAGCAAAGAGGCATCAGCAAAAGGCCAAGGGGAATGTTCTTGGCAGTTGGTGGGCAGATTAATCCATTCACCCCAGGGGCAGAAGCAGCTCCCAGTCAGGCACGCAGGGAGATGCTGAGCAAAGGGGCCAGGACTTGTCATCATGAAGTGCTCAGGGAGCAGGACAAGGGAATAGGGCCCCTCCCCTACTCAGGCCCTCTGACCTCCCGGGCAGGGCTTGTCATGCCTCTGAGTGCTGGAGCAGAGACCCAGCCAGCAGCAGCGTGGGGTGGCCAATGGGGCAGGGTTCCACAGGAGGGGAGATATGGTGTCCCCTGCCCTGACTCCCTGAGGGTCTTGTCAGTCACGATGGGCAGACTGGTGGCTGAGCTGCCGGTCATCATAAGTGCTATAGCGCTTGACGTGGATGCGGCGGACGCGGTCCCGTAGTTCAAAGGTCTCCTCATCTTCACTGGGTGAAGCCTGGCTATGGCTACGGCTTGTGGCCTCCAGCAAGGAGTTGTCAGGGACTCGTGGGGTCTCATAGAGTAAGACATTGAGTGTCTCCTCATAGATTCGGGCCTCTGGAAATTCCACCTAGGGTGAAGGGGACAAGAGGACTGACTGAACGAGGTTTTATCCCAGAGAGAGAGCAGCATGTAAGGCCCCTGGCTCTGTGCTGGCTCATGAGGCTGCCTGAACTCTCAGGAGACAGTTGGCTTTGTGTTTCATGAGGCCGAGGGCAGGTCTCCCTCCGAAGGAGGTGTGGAGGAGATGTACTCTATGCAATAAGGATGCAGAAGACTAGTACCCTCTCCACGTCCTACCTGATCCCAGACCAATGGACTGGTATGTGCAGAAGTTAGGGCTTTGGCTCTGTGGTTAGGCCTAGGTACAAATACAGCGCACATACTTAATAGCTGTGGGGCGTTGGGCTTAACCTTGCTAGGCCTGAGTTCCCACCTGTGTAAAGTCATGGTTAATATCTACATCAGAGAGTTTTGGACATTAATTGAAACATGGAAAGGGATGGCATTCAAGGCACCCGGTTTCTAGACTAACATGTGCCATCAGGAGCTTCTGTTCCCTCATCTGACAAATGGGGAGAAGGGCCCTAGCCTTGCCTCTCTCAGGTGAGGTGTGTGGAGTCAGAAAGTTCATGGACGAGGCGCTTAGGAAGGAAGAGGTGCTGTTGCGACTTCCACAGTGCAACCAGCCCCCTCTTCCCCAGAGACCTGCCCCTGAATCCTGACTCCACTGATATGTGGCCATGGGAGCTCCTACCCCAAAAATGATGGGAGGAAGCAAGGCCACCTCCTTAAGCTGTCCTTCCCTGACACTCAGACCGCCCAGCTGAAGGCACTTTAGTAGCCTGGGGGCCACAAGGTAACACATGAGTGTGGCTGCTTTGAGCCCTTTACATGTACATGACTTCCCCAGATGAGCTGCCCTCCCACCCTAGCAAAGCCCAGCCATCTCCAGAACATGCAGTCACGGTGGAAAGCTACTGTCCAAGCAGGACACAGACCACCTGCAGCCTAGGAGAGAGGGGTTAGCTGAGTTTTTGTTAACTATCACCTAACAAGTCCCTCACACATACCTGGCACTTGGTTGTTACTGTAGAGGCTTAAGCTGATTGAGCAGGACACCAAACTAGCAGGGGCCAGGGAAGAAATCTGAACAGCTACTTCTAGTACACTGCACTGCTTCTCTTAAAAATTGCCTCATTTTCACAATAGCTCTGTTAAATTCGCACTATCTTTCCCATGTTTGCAAATGGGGAAACCAAGGCCCAGATGGTTTAAATGGCTTATCTAAAGTCAGAAAACTGGCCTGGCCGGGCGTGGCTCAGAGGTTGAGCATCGACCTAGGAACCAGGCGATCGGGGTTCAATTCCCGGTCAGGGCACATGCCTGGGTTGTGGGCTTGATCAATGACTCACTCATCATTGATGTTCCTGTCTCTCTCTCCTCCTCTCTCTGAAATCAATAAAGATATAAAAAAAGAATTTTTTAAAGTCAGAAAACTGGTAAATGGTGGCACCAGAATTCAAACTTGAACTGGGCCAACTCCAAAGACCCAGTCCTTCCCAGCACACCGGCTGTTCCCAACAGCCCCTGCCTCTCAGCTGAACAGAACAAATAGTTCCATGCATTCCCTGAGCCCCTTACACTGTCCTGCTCAATCAGCTTGCCCAGCACCATCCCAGCGAGTTTGGGAAAAACAGCAAAATGGATGCCCCTTTCACTCCCTCGTGTGTGTCCTGCTCCCACCCATGCAGAGGGAAGCCCCCTACCTTGGTCTGCTTCTTCTCTGTGGCATACACAATGGAGGTGCAGCACACCTCTGCCAGCTTACGACCCTGACCATAGAATGACCAGCAGCAGATCTCATCGCCAATGACGTCCTTGATGAAGAGCACACGACCGTTGAAGCGCAGGGAGAGCTTGTCAAACAGCTCAATGTTCTTCAGTAGGTGGTCGTCGGAGTTGCTGAAAAACCCACGAGGGCCAGCAGGCCCGGGAATGAGGTTCCAGCACAGGGAGGGTACTAGCTGGGCTCTCCCCACCCTTCCCTTACATGCTGAAATGAGGAGAAATCAAGACGCCAGAGGGGTCAAGAAGAGAAAAGGTCATGGGGCACCGTCTGGGTTTGGGGGCCTGTGTGGAAAAGGAGTTGACTTGGTTTTAATTTAAAGCAGAGAGAACTGAGGGAGGAAAGTCTCCCCTCATTAGGCCTGAAGGAAGGAGGCTTGCTGCTATCAGCAGGATTCTTTCCCTTGCTGTAAGGGTGATGCTGGCAACGTGTCTGTCCAGAGAGCCACTGGGAAGGTTTGGGACTCTGAGCCTGCAGCCTCCTGCAGCCTAACTGTGGCCTGTTGAGAGGACACTGGGGGACTTCAGGGAGGCAAGGGGGAAACTGGCCTAGGACAAAGGCTAGCTTAGGAGGAGTCCCAGGCCACTGGCTTCAGTGTCCTTCCTTCAGCCCATAAGATAATGCTGGGAAAACACCTGGCATGCTGCCCGGCATGACAGATGTTAAGAGGGTGTTACATGTTCAGTCTCGTCTATATCCCAGCCAGGGCCCTGCACCAAGTTCCAAATGCCTGTGCCCTAATTTCCCTTCTACTCTGTTCTTCCCTCCTAAGGCCCAGACCCATGCCAACCATGCCAGGAGTGCAGGTGGCTTCCCTTGGGTCTGCTGCCAAACTTCCACGCTGGCTGCTCAGCCCTTTTAGCTGCTTCTACAGCCCTTCCCCAAGGTCCCCCGTCGACACCCCCCACTGACGCCCACCCTACCTGGTGTAGGAATACTTGTTGTTGCTTCTGTTGTACAGCAGCTTCACCACAGGCTGTGAGGGAGGAGAGTGTGAGGGCCAGGTCCGAGTCCCGGAACGCCCTGCCTGGAGCCCTCAGAGGTCCCTCAGAGATCCCAGTACCTTGGTGGAAGATTCGATGAGCCTCTCCTCCTCCTTCAGGGATGTAATGATGGGGATGTTGCATACAGGCTGGTAGGAGTCCTTCTTGTCCTGGGTGACACACACAGCCAAGAAGCCTTTTTGAGATCTTGTTGGCCAGGCTTTCCCCAGGAACTGTCAAAGCCCCTCTGCCATGGCCAGCCCTGCATGCTGAGGCATCAGACAGAAATTAGGTGGCCCCTGGTAGGACAAACTGCCAGCTGGCAAGCAGACTCCCATTTCCAGAAAACCTAAAACCCAGATATCTAGGCTATAAACTAGCAGCAGGGCCTAGTCAGACTGCTTGAGTCCGTCACCCTACGAACCACCTGGCAGCCCACCTGCTCAGCCTGGGCAACACCTGGAGTATCTGACTAGGTTTGGATTCATCAACCACACCTGCCACAGAGCCGTCCAGGAAATGGCCCCTTATGTCCCTGAAGGTGGGGCCAACTCCCAACCTTATCGTCCAGCCCCGACTCTGCCTCTGTACCTGTAGGGCGCTCTGGCACATGTTCACCAGGCCCTGAATGAGGTAATATTTTGCTTCAGCCATCAATTCCTTGATTTCTTGACGGTTCTGAGGGAGGATGATGGTGTCATCACGGAGGTAATTCAAAATGGTGCCGAAGTGTTTTCCACATCGGTCTATGAGGATCCAGCCTAGGGATTGAAATGCGCCCCGGAGGGTTACTACTTGCCTCCAGGTACCTCAGAAGCAGGCAGTAGCAAAGGCCACCTGACAAGCCTGGTGACAGGTGGTAGAGAGCACATGAGCATAGACCCACAGCACGGGGTAACAGAAAACAGAACCTCAAGCTCTTACGTTCATGGTTCTCTTCACTCCTCCTCCCTGAAGCCAAGAGCTGGCACATACTGTGCAGAGACAGGCCCTCCAGGCTCTAGGGAGACCTACAGAGGTCTAAGCTCAGGAATGCTCAGGCCCCTCCTGACAACACAGAAACCACCAGGCCTGGCTGGCCTCTGCCCACTGCCTAGTCACTATGGTGATGCTTCCTAGGAGAACCTAGTCCTATGTGAATAAAAAAAAAGTATGGATAGCCTCTCTGGAAAATGCGTAAACACATAGTAATCTATGTACAATTACAAAGAATTCTGAAGTTCAATTAAGGACTCCAGGTGGAGTCCTGTACTAGGTGAACTGGAAAAGTGAACCCAGACTTAACCCCTCCCCTGAAGTCACGTCCCCAGGAACTCCTCCTTCCCTCCCCACCTTGCCCAACAAGCCCTAATACCTCACCTTCTTTGTCAGTCAGCACCTCCATGCGCCCGCTGAACATGGCCTTGAGCATGGTGTCGTGCCGGGTTAGTGCCCGCACAGTGGTATAGTACAGGGAGCCACCCACATTGAGCTGGACGTATTTGTTGCCCAGGCTTCCTCCCTTGAAGCCGCTGAGCTTGGGCTTGGCCCCTGACGCTGGGCACAGACAGGTATCCCCCGACATCTCCCGCTTCAGGTAGATCACCACACGGCAGGAGGTGGGCTTGGAAGGTTCCGCCGTGGTGGAAGGGTCACGAGTGAGTGGCCAGTGGAGGCGAGAGCCTCATACTCTCAAGGCTGTGAGCAGGAGATGGGAGAGAAGGCAAGAGTCAGCAGAGGAGAGCCCTCAGTCAGGAGGGAACAAAAGGAGAAACACTGACCATCCAGTCATTCTCTCCCGGATAAGCACAAGACTCCCTGGCAGAGGCTAAGGTCCTAGGCAATGGTAAGAAAGATGCTCCTGCTGTTCTTTATGGTACCAGGAACCAGGTCTGGGGGCACAGCCTTCCAGAGCCCGAAACTGGTCACTTCACCAGCCTCCTGAGATTCAGCTCTGGGTGGCAAGAAGGACAAGCAAGCCCTTGGAGCCAGTCAGAGGGACAGACTGGGCAGAGCAGAAGTTCTCACCCTGGGGATCTGCCAGTCAGATTCCACTTATTTTCTTCTCAAGATTCCGAGGGTCCAAGACTTCTAGCCAAACCTACTGGAAGTCCAGCCAGCCTAGGAGTTTCCCAGGAGCCTGAGGGACAGGACACACTTCCTTTCTAAAGATCCCAGGCTCAGGAGCAGCCTGCACCAGTGCTTATTTTGAGTAACACCTGGAGTCTGGCTTCAGGAAGGCAAGTCAAAGCAGCTCAGGAGAGCATGAAATGAGCCAGGCTGGGGGGAGCCAGCCAGTGTTCTTGGCAGAGGTGACCCTGGCTCCAGCTGGGGTTCCCTGACTTTCCCCTTTCTTGGCACCAGCCCTATCCTAAGTTTCTGAAATTGTCACCATTTTTTAGAAATGAACAACTACAGGATGGCTATTTTTTAAGAACGGGCCCAGTCCTATCTCTTCCTCTCTTCCCTCCCAACAAGAATGGGAAGAAAGGACCAGAAAAGATGATAAATCTAAAATCAATTAAGTGACCTGGAAACGGAAATACTAATAGTTCACGGGAGAGAGGAGCAAGGAAAGCAAAAGAGGGCAAAGCTGTCACCCCTTGTGATTTATATTCTATATTATATGTTTTGGTTTTCTAAAGAACCACTAAAATCCATTCACTGAAGAAAAAATAATAGAAAACACTCATTGCATATTTATTATGTTCCAGGCACTTAATATTTACTCCACTTCATTTATTCAGCAATAAAACAATAGTGAGTGCCTATTATGTTAAGCAATAGGGATAGAGAGATATCATCCTTGTCTTCAAGGAGTTCAAAGGATCATAATGTTAACAAGCATAAAAATACTAAGAGTTAGCATTTACTGTGCCCCTGCTATGTGCCAGGCACTGGAGTTACAGAGGAGAACAAGGCATGGCTTCATGGAGCTCGCATTCTAGTTGGTGGATATAGACAACAAGAAAACAAGTAAATAAGCAGGTAATTCCAAAAGTGAGAAATACAGTAGAGATAATAAAACAGTGATTAAGGAAGTGACTAGGGAGAGGCACTAATCTAGGTAGGGGGACCAGGGAAAGCCTCTTTGGGAAGGTGACATTCCAGCTGAGGTCTGAAAGAGTATTCCGGACAGATGGAAAGGTAAGTGCCAAAAGGTGAGTTAGACACATGTTTTAGGAACAGAGATAAGGCCACGACGGCTGGTGCAGAGAAAGGAAGGAAGACCAGATCATATTAAAGAGTTCAGATTTTATATGAATTGCAATAGGAATCGGTTGGAGAGTTTTGAGCAGGGGACTGACACAATCTGAATTATTTACATTTTCAAAAGATCACTCTGGCTGCTGTGTAGAGAGTGTATTGTAAGGGTTCAAGAGATCAAGTGGGAAGACTAGAAGCAGCAGTAGTCTGGGCAAGAGATGGTAAAGGCTTCAACTATAATGGAGACAGGAAAAAAGTGGAATTATTTCACTTAATCATTACAACATGCAGAAGTTTACAGTTGTACACCAACTCTTGCAAGTGCAATCCAGAAACATTGCACTGGTTTTCCCGTTTACTGCTCCATTCTCCAAACTTAGCACAATGCCATACACATTTTTAAGCATTTACTATATGTTCGTTTGTCATATGGAAATTGTCCCTGATAATTTAGGTAGGTCCCTGGGAAGAATGTCCAAGAGAGGGCCAGAGCAGGTGCTGTGTGAGGTACTGAATTCCTCGATGGCTTGTCCAGGTGACTCTCACTTGCCTCAAGGATACAATGAACCCTCGCTGGAAGAATCAGTAACAGTAGTTTGAGACCACCTTACCTTCATCAGCCCACCCCAAAGGAATAAACCCGCCCCTTAACTGCCTTAACAAGTCTTAAGTTCCTACCTGTTTTGTATTCAGCATCAATTTCCCCAGGATCAAAGAAAACATACACGCATGTTCTGCCAAAGGAAAGGAACTCAAAGGCTAGGTCGTTGCCAACAGAGAAAGACAAACCCAGAGTTAATCTATTCTTTTCCCACAAAGCAATTGCTATGAGCCCCTGGATGACGTCAGCTCGGATTCTGCCCATACCAATGGGTTCCAGGAATTCTCTGGCAGGTGACGCCCAGAAAGTAATTCCAGTGAGAATGAAGTTTCCACTGGAAGCCTCAGTGCTCTTCCTTCCGGACTTTGTGTGCGGATATTTAGGGAGCTAGGGGAGTGTCACACCGAGGGAAGCTAAGGGGAATAAAGGGCAAACAATCTCGGCGGTGGGAGAAAGGGGAGGTCCTAAAGGCAGAGCACTCCGAAATTAGTTACGCACAGGGGAAATGGGGCGTGGGGACAGAGCAGATCTTGGTTAAAGAGGGCGGTTCTAGCAAAAGTCCTAGGTCTAAAGATCTTAGGCTTCATCCAAAGGGTCTGGAGAAATTCAAGAAGACCCAACCTCTCTGTGGCCACTGTAGAGTCTTGCCCAGCCCGTACCTTTCCTTACTCCAGAGAAATCGAGACGGTACGTACACACAAAGAAGACACCAGAGATCTGAGCTCTCCATCTCCCCTACGCCGCCCCACGCCTTGTCCCCAGGACTAGGTGCGGCCCTCTTTGCTCCAGCACCGGGCCGTCTATCCCTTCCCCTGGGGTATCGGCGGACCCGATTCTCACCGTCCCCGGCGGCGCCTCTCCGGTCAGGTGGGTCGCAGGCCCACACCGTCCCGCCCCTAGGCTGTGGCCGCCTGCCGAACGGCAATCCCTGCCTGTGAAATCACGTCCTCCCAGCGCCGACTCCGTCTCGAGTTGCCGCCCAGCGGGGCGGGCCCAGGAGTCTGAGACTGTAGGGTCGGGCAAGCCCAGCATCCAATCAGGGGAGAGTGGAGAGCCCCATAGAATATTCCGGGGTGAGAGCACAGCTACTTCCGGAAGCCTTTCCGGTGCAAAGGCCTCTGGGCCTTGTAAGCAGCCACCTCTCTCTTCTCGGGCCTCTGTTTCCCAGCAGGCCCTGCGGGTCAGGCGGGTGTAAATGCTTCCGGTGTCAAGTCATGACGTTCCGTGTACACAGATCCTGTAGCCGTGGCAGCGGCTGAGGCTGGCGGGGCAGGCACCGCCGCCGCGGACGGGAGAGAGAAGCTACCTGTCGACATCAGCCTGGGCAGCAGCGCGCCGCCGCTACGGGGTCGGGAGGTAGGCCGTGACTCCGGTTGGGGTACGCGGGCGGACCCGGGGCGAGGTGAACCTGACGGCCCCGCGCCCAGAGGAAAGACAGCCCCAGGCCGGAAGAAACTTGGGAATTCCGCCCCACTCTTTGGGAGCGGTTTTACACACAGTTTGGGCCCGCAGCTTTACACGTTGGTGCTCCCAACGATCTTATGAGGAAACTGCGGGTCAGATAAGTTCGAGGAGTTTACATAATGAAGACAGCTAGCTCCATCACCCAGATCTTTCTAATTTTCTGCCCAGCGCCCTTTCCCCACACCCCATTGGTGGAGCTTGCTCGTAGTGCCTAGCGTGGATCTGGGAGAGCCAGAGGCAGAGAGAGTGACACTGTCCTCATCTCCAGGGAGCTCACTCTGGCTCTTGTGCCCGGTGTTTCTCAGATGCTCAGACGCTTGTGTGGTGGGAATTGGGAGGGATGTGATAAACAACTGTGAACCCTCTCCCTTCCCTCCTTCTTTGGTCTTTCCCATCTCATTCAACCATACAGTTGTCTCAAGCCAGAAACGTGGGAATCTTGTCTGACTCTTTCCTGCACTCATCCCCAAACCCCTACTACATTCAGTCTATCCTTTACTAAGTCCTAACAACTCGACTTACAAAACATCTCAAATTGGGACACTTTTCTTCAGCTCTAAGCCTTTGTTACTGTAATAAGCTCCTCTGTTTTCACAGTCATTCATTCCACAAACAATTACTGAGTGCCAATTATGTACAGACCCCATGCTAGATGCTAGGGTTACAGTGATGAACCAGGTAGGTATAGCCCCACCCTCTTGTTTCCTCCAATTCATTCTCCATCCTGGGTCAGAGTGGTCTCTCTAAAAGACAAATCTGATTACGTCACTCTGCTGAGAATCCACGGGCTGCCCATTACCCCTCTGATAAAATCCAAGCTTATTATTGCAGCTTTCAGAGCCCTTCATGATCCAGCTGTAGCTTCCTTATCTAGCCGTCATCCTGTTTCACGCTCCCCCTTGCTCACAATGTTTCAACCACACTAGTTTGATTTCTTGGGATGAGCTTAATTTGTTACAGCCTCGGGATCTGCACACATGCTTTTCCTTCTGCCTGGAACGCCTCCTCCTCCTTTACTTGACAATCTTTCGGACATCTTTTAGGCCTCAGCTTTTGTCACTTTTGCAGAAGGCTTTAAAAAAAAATTTTTTTTTTAATTGATTTCAGAGAAAGGAAAGTGAGAGGGAGAGAGAAATAGAAACATCGGTGATGAGAGTCATTGACTGGCTGCCTCCTGCACGCCCCCTAATGGGGATAGAGCCTGAAACCCCAGCATGTGCCCTGACCCTGACCTCATTCATAGGTCAGTGCTCAACCTCTGAGCCACACCTGCAGACTGCAAAAGGCTTTTGTTGACACCCCCACCCCCATAAGAATTATGTACTCCTGCTGCAGCTTCACGTAGCACCATGTGCTTTTCCTCATACTATTACCACAATTTGTGATTATCTGTTTACTCTGTCCAGAGGCTAGGAACCAAAGCAGTAAAGCATTGTCTTCACTCCTCTGTCTCCAGAGCAGGGACTCAGTAGATGTTTCTGAATGCTCTCGGGGAACGGAGTGGAAGTTGAAGCAGATGTTTGCTCCCTCAGGTTACCTGAAGCTTTCTAGAGCAGTTGGTCTGATTAATCGCCCAGCAGGTATTAAATGCTCAGAGCATATGTGTGAATGTTAACGAGGTGGAAGACAAATATTTTTGAAAAGCCTGATCATAAGGAAGTTCTGTATGATTAAAATGCTTCTAAAGGGAGAATCTAGCCTACTTACTTCAGTGGATTCCAGGGACGCCAAAGGCTCTGGGCCAGTTATACGCAGACAACCTATAGACATGCATTAGTTGGCCCACACAGTGTTGGATGTGTTTTTTCCTCACTTTAAATTGTTGAATTAGATACTTTCCTTTAAAAATCAGATTCCATATATAAATCTGGATTTCTGGTCCTCTTGAAAATCAGTGGGACTTAATTCTTTTTTAACCATTGATCTTCCTATGGTACACATGCTCTGGGCAGTCAGTCCCAGAATTCAGAACAGAACTTCTCTAAGGAAGCTGGAAGAGAATGGGTTAGGGAAGGTGGGAGCAGAGGGAAGGGCTGGTGCAGGGCCAGGTGGTGGTAGCCTTTGGAACACCTACAGTTTTGGAATTGGTATAGCAGCTAATGGCTAGTCCTAAGTAGCATTGTCTTCCTTTCTAGACAGGGCATGTGGTCTCTCCTTTTTGTGTTGTTATTTTTAAGCCAGAATGAGGGTAAGTTTTCAGTGTTTCCTTCCTAGAATTGAGGCATCCTTTGGACTAGGAATGCAAAGTGGCCTGGGAAGGGAGAAGGTATCTGTGCTGGTTCTCTTACCTTCAGAAAACCCCCAAACTCTTTAGCTTGGCACACAGGGTCTTTCTGATCTGGCTCCATCCGACCGACCTTTCTAGCTCCATCGTCTGTCCTTTCATCTTCTAGGCAGGATAGGCCCTTCCAGCGACTTTTGGCTCTTATTCATGCTGTTCTCTCTGCTTGGAATGCCTTCCCTGACTGCCTTACTTTGTGTTTTCTGCTAGAAAGAGACTGACCCAACTTTGGGTCCTAGTTCAGGCAAGTGTACAGTATACTGTGGCGTACATTTTGGGTAAGATTCTTACTCCTAGCTTCTTATATTTTTAACCCTAATTTTAAATTCACCCATATTTTCTTTTTTACTTGCTTTTTGTGTTGTTACAATACTTTATTTGAAAAGCTTTTTAATGTCCTTTTGAGTATATAATTGGGGATAAATAAATATGCTTATGTCTGACAACTTAGTTCAAATGTCAACTTCCTCACCCCAAGTTAACTGCTTTGTTCTTCTCTAGCTCTTTAGTGATATTTCTGTAAAAGCACTTAACAGTATAATTTCTCAGTTTACATGTCTGTCTTCTTCCAGCTAAACTGTGCTTCTCCAGGGTGGGTACCATGTTGCACTCATCTTTGTACCCCCAGCATCTAGCGATGTTGGCATGTAGTAGGCACTCAAGAAAAATGTGTTGAATGAACGATGCCTGTGACAAGCAACTGGACTTTATTTTTCCTGACCCTTGCTCCTATGACACACCTCCTCCTGGCTGCCACTATCACTCCTTCAGAGCAGATCTGTAGAGAAGCTGGAAGGGAAACAGGTGAGGCTTAGAGAGGTGGAGACAGAGGGACGGGGGAGCCTTTGGAACATCTGGGTTTTGGGCATTGGTATCTGGGGGCAAGAGTGGGGCTGGGCTGGAGGCAGGCATTTCCTTGGGTTGGCTGGGAAGTGATCATGGATTGGGGTTGGTTTCTTTACAGCTATGGCCAAGGACATCCTGGGTGAAGCAGGGCTGCACTTTGATGAGCTGAACAAGCTGCGGGTTTTGGACCCAGAGGTTACCCAGCAGACCATTGAGCTCAAGGAAGAGTGCAAGGACTTTGTGGACAGTGAGTGTCATTGGGGGGAGACATGTTGCCGGTCAGCTTTGAGCTGTTCCAACTACCTCACCCCCACCTCCCAGCTTTTGCTCTGGTCCTGCCAGAACGGAGCTGCTGGCTACCTGGAGGTTGAGCCTGGCCTTTATGTGCCACCCACCTTTTCTACCTGCTCTCTTATGCTCTCATGTAGTCCCACAGGGAGCACCAGTCAAAACACACTGAAATGTAGAGAGGAGGGTGTTATTTGAGATATGCCATCTTTGATTTTTTATGTACTGATGATTTAATTTCTAGGGAGAAATAGTATTCTCAGTGGTAGCCTTGTCTGTATTGGGAGTGAAAGTTGATTAACTGGAGTCTCTAGAAGCAGACCCCATGAAGTCATTTTTTAGAGATATCCAAGACACCTCCTGTCCCAGCAGCCACGCAAGCCCAGGAGCAGTGAATATAGAGCAGGCCTAGGTAGAGCAGGGATTTGAGCCTTCTGGGGACTCTAGGCTGTGGAGCTTGCCTGGTGAAAGGTAGCATGTGTTCTCTTGCCAGCCTTCTGCTTCTGTGTGAATGTTGTCCCACCTCTCTGGGCCTTAGTTTACTCCTCAGTAGTGTGGGTTTCCACCATACCCAAGGATATTGATAAAAGGGAATGGGAGATTAGGCACTTAAATGCTTTGAGCTCTTTATTAGCTGTGGTCACAGTGGACAGCCACCACCCCACCATTAACTGAAATCTAGTGTATCTGTGGCTGCAAGAGGAAGCGTTCTTGTCCTGTGCAGTCCTTTCATGAATGTGGCCCTTTGTCACTCCTGGGAAAGCAGGATGGAGTCCATCCATAGAATGGGCCCACCAGGACACTTCGCAGCCTGAGGTAATAGCAACTCGCTGGCTCAAGGTTCAGGTATTGCCCAGTCTAGCTCTGGGCACCTGGCCACCCATCTCTAGGTTCAGACCAAGGGTGGCAGACTTTAGGCCAATAGACACCAATTGTTTTGATACATTAGAAAGGCAGTTAGTCCTACCCTCTGTTGAAAGGGAACACTGAGGGAGTGATGACAAAAAAAATAAAAAACATTTTCTTCTTTCCCTCAAAGAAATTGGCCAATTTCAGAAAATAGTTGGTGGTTTAATTGAGCTTGTTGACCAACTTGCAAAAGAAGCAGAAAATGAGAAGATGAAGGTAAGATCAACATGTGTTCTATCTAAATTTTGGCCCCCTTGTTCACTATCCTGTCATCCTGCCCTCTTGACTTGTGTGTGTGTGGGGGGGAAGGTGGGGGTGGGGGAGAGATTCTTATAATTGAAACAAGATTTTTTTCCCCTATGCCAGTATCAACTCATTATGTTGTACACCTGAAACATTACATGTCAATTATACCCCAGTTAAAAAAACCAAACAGGGTGGGATGGATGCGGGATGGAGGGGATCAATGGAGGTAAAAAGGGGACATCTGTAATATTTTCAACAATGAAGAAACTTAAAAAACAACACACAAAACAATTCCTGGTCCAGTTAACCTACTGTTGAACTCTTATATGCCAGTACACTCAGTCATAATTTCCTTTACTCTTCACATAATCACTGAAATAGATGGTTTTATCCTCATTTTATAAATGAAGAAAGGAAGGTGTGCAGAGTATAGATGACTTGGCAAAGGACATTAAATGTGCACACCAAACGGGCCACTGAACACGTGTGCCAGACTGGGATGCTCCTGGATGTGCCTCGAGTCCAGGCCAGGTCTAACTGGAGTCGTGAGGCTCTGGGGTTCAGCCTTCTTTTCCCTGCCGGGCAGTGAGACAGCTCCCAACTGAGGACTTAATGCTGAAGAATGTTTTAACGAAGCCATGACATTCTTTGGCAATACTGTTTTTCTAGGCCATTGGTGCTCGGAATTTGCTCAAATCTATAGCAAAGCAGAGAGAAGCCCAACAGCAGCAACTCCAAGCACTAATAGCAGAAAAGAAAATGCAGCTGGAAAGGTAAGACATTATGCAAAGCAAGGTTGTTATTCAACTGCAATTCTGTTTTTCCTTAATGTCACCTCTTGTCCTTTTCATCGTTCTCCCAGGAATAGTGTCTCACTTGTCATCCTAATTTGAAGATTTAAAAAATAAAATTCCACTTGATGGGAAGGAAAAAGAAAATTTATTAATATCAAGCCGCCTGTGGTAGTTTGAGAGCATGCTCAGGAGCGAGTGCGCAGTTGGCTGGCTGGCTCTCTGAAGGGAGAAAACCCTCAGGGCTGCAGACCCTCCTGGGGAGCCCTGCACGGGGCTCTGCACATCTAACCCTTTTCTCTTCTTGCCCTAACTGCTTCAGTCTGACACCATTTCTTGGAGTCATTTAAATCACCTATATTCTTCGCTAGAATTAAGTCCATGGTTTCACCCATTTTTAGGGCTTCTAACAATTTTGTTTTTCAGGTATCGGGTTGAATATGAAGCTTTGTGTAAAGTAGAAGCAGAACAAAATGAATTTATTGACCAATTTATTTTTCAGAAATGAACTGAAAATTTCATTATTTAGCAGGAGGGCAAAAAACCCTCTGTGCCATTCCAGTGACTTTGACTAATGACCCACGTATATCATGTGAGATGGTGTGTGAGAGATGCACCATCTCTGAAGGCAATAAAACAAATCTGGGGGGCTTATTTCAGATGCCGGTGCATATCTGGTGAACACCCAGTGACCGCGGTGGCCCAGGTTCTCACCTCTTGCATTCTTGGTCTGAAAAAAGCAGTCTGTCAACTTTGATTTTTTTTTTTTGTAAATTCACGAAGCTTTGGAAGAAAAAGCAATAAATTATTGTTTTCAAATGGCTTATCCACATCTCTTCCCGGTGCCCTTAAAGTGTACACTTAACCACTTGTAAGAGAACCTTGGACTCTCCAGCCCCTAGTCCACAAAACAAACAGAGCAGTCATCAGCAGCTACCTTTATTTATACCGGACACATGAGTCAGAGGATACTCCCAACAATTAGAGCAACATGACTTGTGAGCAGAACAGGCAAAGAGAGAACTCATCAGGACCAGTTTCTTCTGGGTTTTTTTGGAGTTAGCCTCGAGTATGAATTTCGAGGCGGCTAGTGGAACACCAAGTACTGACGTGGAGACGCTGGACGTGCTATGCCCAGCTGTGCCCCCCCTTTGAGAATAAGACTGGAAGGAATGATGTTACCCAGTAGGAAGCACACTTCCAGATCAGGCTCGAGAACCAGACCCCAGAGTAGAGAGACTTCTGTCAGGTGGTCTGTAAAAATACAGGACTGAGCTTTGGAAAGATGAACAAGGAGACTTTAAAGAATTCCTCCTTGGATGAGCTGCTTAAGACAGACACAAAACACCTCCTAGTTCAACCCATTTCTGATTGGAAGTCATGCCAGGGCTGAACCTTAAGTAAAGCTAAGTTTAAACCTCCTAGAAAACACTACTTTTAATGAATATTAAAGAGGCATAATTTCAAACTTAAAAATGGCCTGAAAGATCCCACTATTCATTTTGCTGAACAGTGATTTGCTGTAGAGAATCCTGACTCAACGGGTTAGTCACATGTATATTGTGGATGAAATGACTCACAAAAATGCCAAGCAGGATGTTTCTTAGAAGTTGATCTAGTTTCTGGTCCGGCCTTGTTTTTAGTAATTCTGCAATGGAACTTGGGCACATGTTGAACTTGGTCCATCCTCAGGTGATTGGTCTGTGCCAGTGCCCTTGGAAGGGGAAATTTTGATGTGGCTCCTGCTGCTGTGTGTTTCAAATGCTACTGAAGACATGGGTTCTGAGCAGTTTTCCTTGTACTGGGTCCAACAGGAAACTGCCCTGTGGGCATCTCTTCACTGGGCCAGCAGTTCTCTCTCATTTTTTCTTTCTTTTCTCCTCATATCTATAGTAGTAGGGACTCCGCAACATCAAAAGCAGAAGCATAAGAGGGATGAGCAAGTAGGGGGCATAGACAGATGTGAGGGTTAAGCGTTCACGTAAAGTCTTAGGTCCTTGTCCTTTGAAACCACTGGCTTTAGAGAAATCCTCAAATAGAAACGTGAAGAGAATTGGAATTAGAGTTGTCATGGTGTGAACCGAGTAGATGATTGCGGGGGTGCGGATCCACTTGCAGCCTCCTAAAGTTGTCGGGAAGAGAGAGAAGCATTAGGTCTGTTCAAGACTCCAGGGATGCCCATGACATTCTCCATGCTGCCTGCTCCTTTCAGCTGAATCATTCTACCTCCTCTTCCAAGTGGAAAACTGGATGTGTTATAATGCTGCCTAACTGCGCAAATGTACGTGACAGGGCAGGTCCCTAGCACACTGACAACCAAAGAACCGAGGGTGGGGGTTGGAACTGAATTCAGAAAAAAACTAGGGCAGTAAAAGTTAAACCTGTTTGGTCTAAATGTGTGTGTGGGGGAGGGAGGTGCTGCAGCAGCATCTGTTTGTTAAGTAATTACAGTAAATATAGGTGAAAGGATCAGTAGATTCTGCAAAAGATGGATGTGGGAGCTCCGGTGGGAAATAAGCTATACAAGCTTAGTTACCATGTATGTTGGTATGGCCACCTTCTTAATAAAAGCATCAGTTATATGGGGACACTGTAAGAATAATTTTTAAGTAAGAAGTTAAGCCCTTTAGGAATTAGCTTGATGCTACTACTTATAAGCCAGTATGATACTATGTAAAGCAGAGAAATGAAACCCAATGATGAAAAAGAAATAGGAAGCAACAAGTTCAATCTTTAAGTAGCCTCAGGTTTCATGTGTATGAGACATTTCCTTTGGCTGAGGTAGTCATGTAGCCCAACTGGTGACAGACATCAGCCTAAGCCACGTTAATGTCCATTTACAGGAGCTCTCCTGGTCATTCCCACCAGACAAACTAGAGGGACCACTCCTCTCTCCCTTGAAGAAACTTTCCCAAAAGATTTCTGGGACCTGATTTCAGAGCAAAAGGGATTTCCCCACCATTTACTAACCTTTGAAGAAAGCATATGTTGCAATGGGAAAGAAAGGCAGCTGAAACACAAGCTCGCAAAACAGGAAGGACTTAAACCACACTGGGGGGTCCTGTAGCAGAGGGTCTTTGAACTCTTTAGCGTACCACTTCAGCAGGTCTCTCAACTGGAAAAAAAGATCAGAATGAATGCAACCACTGGCAGGGTAGGCTCAGCAGCTCCAACCCACTAGGAGTCTTTTATTACTCAGCCCCCTTGGCAGCAGATGGCACACCTAGCTGGCTTTGTGGTGCAGCCTAGATGGTCATTTAATAAAAACTCACTAGCTCTAACTCAAATGTTAGCTTCTCCTAGAAGCTTTCCTCAGCTCTTGCAGCGACTTGGTGCCACCCTTGGTGTGACTACATGGTAACACTTATCTAGGTGTGCTGCCCATTGTCAAAATTAATTTCTGGCACTTAGTGTGCTGAATGAACACAAATGTGACATATCTGCCAACAATATAGTTCTATATAGTGATGACAAAAACCATCCTGATATTTTGCCTTTCCACAGTAGCAACTACACACCAAGGTCTGAGGGCCAGACTTCCTTAAATACAGAAATGAATTTAATTTGACTTGGTGGGAGGGGGGCATAGGGGGCAGTTAGGTAAATTGAACCTTTGTGAAGATGTAATTTTAGATAATTTAAATAAATTGCCATTCTTAACTCCCTAGTTCTCGGTTTTTTCTTTTAGGAAACCAGTAGGATATTTGTAGAAGAACAAACTCTACTCCAAACCACAAACTATATAGCTTCTAGGCTATGTCAAGGCTTGAGTTAGCAGTCTTAGTTCTAGCTGGGGCGCCACCCTCATAATTATGCTGTCAAGTCAAAAGATACAGACCCATGCTGACATGGCTACAGGCGAGGAAAGGAAGAAAGAGGGTTTGAGGCTGCCCATTCTTTTTTTTTTTTTTTTAATATATCTTTATTGATTTCAGAGAGAGGAAAGGACAGAGATAGAAACATCAATGATGAGAGAGTCAGTGATCGGCCGCCCAGCCTGCAACCCGGGCATATGCCCTGACCGGGAATTGAACCCCGATCGCCTGGATCCCAGGTCGACGCTCAACCGCTGAGCCACGCCTGGCCAGGCGAGGCTGCCCATTCTTTGTTGCTGTTTTTTTAAATATGTCTTTACTGATTTCAGAGAGAGGAAGGAGAGAGAGAGAGAGAAACAATCAGTGATGAGAATCATTGATAGGCTGCCTCCCGCACGCCCCCTATTGGGGATCGAGCCCGCAACCTGGGTATGTGCCCTGACGGGGAATTGAACTGAGATCTCCTGGATCACAGATCGATGCTCAACCGCTGAGACACACCAGCTGGGCCCATTCTGTGCTTTTTAAAGAGCCCAAACAAAGCCTAGGGCTCTCCATGTGAAGGTCTGTTGCATTTAACCTCCTGGAAATGGCGTGGTCTCAAAACACCTGCCTTCAAAGCCAAATATGTCCTTTATCATGATAAAGTCTACTTCCAAGGTAAGAATTTAGCTTACAATGGAAAATTCAAAGATATTTTTCCTGTTAATTTTTAACAAAAGATAAAGGCTCACTATTGTTAAATAGAAGCCTCATTGCTGTGAGTGAGCTTTAAGCAAATATCCAGAGACAAACATTCTGTTAGCATATTAACTGGCCTGTGTGGCTCAGCTGGTTGAGTGTCCTCCCAAGTACCAGGTTGCCGGTTGGATTCCCAGTCAGGGCACAAGCCCAGGTTTCGGGCTCAATCCCCAGTAGAGGGCATGCAGGAGGCAGCCAATCGATGTTTCTCTCCCTCTCCCTTCCTCTCTCTGAAATCAATATTTAAAAAAATAGGCTCTGTCCAGATAACCAGTTTATTGACCAAGTGATCTCTTAATTTGTACTTGACTTGAAATTTAAGTTTGTGTGGTAATACCCTTAGCTTCCTCCTGAGTACTTTTTGGGAAAGTAATGTGGTAGTAAATATTCACAAAAAGGTTAGGTCATTGCACCTCTCCTGAGCTCTATTTCCTCACCTGTAAAATAGCAACTTGGACTATGTTTTCAAAGTTGTTTGGGTTTTTTTTTTTTGCTTTCCAGGTTTACTTAGAAAAAAAGCTTTAAAAGATTTACTGTAGAACTAAAAGGCATTCTGGTTCCTTTGGACTTCATTTTCTATTCAATTTGTATACAATCTCTCAGATCCACCTATTCATAAATCCAGGCAGATTTGTACAGTACTGTAATTTCTAAGGGCTGTAGGATGAGATTAGCAAAATTTAAAAACAATCAGCCAGCACTCATAATCAACTGCAACACAACCACCTGCCCACAGTCACCTAACAGCCATCTGATGCCAGAAGAAGGGCTGGTGGAAGGCAAGGCACAGGCCCCTGGCAGAGTGAAGAGCATGGGACTTGGTGGCAGAGCGCCTGGATCTGAGTGCCAGCTCTGGACAAATCACTTAATCTCATTAAGTTTGTTGCCCAATTACAGTACCTACCTCACTGTTGGTAAGATAAAATGAGTTAATACACACAGTCTTTACAACAATGGCTAGCACAAAAAGATTACTTAATTGATTATGTAATCCATACATATTTGGAGAGGTAAGAGTTTAATCCCATTAACATCTCAGCCCGAAACTGGTCATTAGTAACTATTTTTATTAGGTAATAAGACCCCACCAAAAGGTAATAAAACTGTTTCCATTTATATATCTGAGTCACATTTCACTCAGCTTACCATTGTTATCCATTAAAAATGTTCACCTGGCCTGTGCACATGGGATTCTAAACCAGCAGTTGCTGAACAATTTTGCATTTCTCTAACGGGAGAGCAGACTGATTTCAGACCTAGGTGCTCACCTGTTTTTCCTTATTTTAACAGAAGCGATGCTACCCAGCTGCAAATGATACTTCAAAATGCTTGTCACCCTCTCCATTTCTAATCCAGTGATTTTTAACCTTTTTCATCTCATGGCACACAAACTAATTACTAAAATTCTGCGGCACACCAAAAAAAATTTTTTTGCCAATCTAACAACAAATACCATTTTGATTCATTCACACAGGACAGCTATTGTGCTGGCTGTTGCCATTTTTTAAATTTGACAATCTAAGGGAAAAGAGGTCAGTGCCCCTGACTAAATAGTCAGGTATCGCATGTTTTAAAAATTCTTGCAGCTCACCGGTTGAAAATTGCTCTTCTAACCCAAACTAAATTCTTATTGTTTAATAATAGTTTTTCTAAGTGTTGGGCTGGTTCAAACAAAGAAAGGTTTAATTTGCAAATTTTAGCCCAAACGTTATGTGGGCTTTAGTTCTAGGGAAAAATTCCTCTACTTAAGGAGGAAGAACAACAGATGTTAAATTTTGGCATATTTTCGAAGAGAATCTGAGGATAACGCAAGGCTTTAATTATTACTCTTTTCCCCAAAGAGAAGCAACAAAACTCTCATTCCCCACCCCAGAGCAACAAGAATGGCTAGAGACACAGGCCTTCCAAGCCAGGATGCCCCTGTTTCTAATGCCTTTAAGACAGCATCAGACACTCCGACAGACACACAGACACACACACACACACACAGTTTTTGGCCACATCCTGCCTACATTGGCCCTTGACCTTTTACAATAAGTCAACATTAAATAAAGCTGAGAAAACTTTACCAAATCAAATATGTAAATTTAAGTGAGGTCGTTATGCTGGATACATTTTAATTGTATTTTGTGATTGTTGAGCAAAGACTTGCGGGAATGGCACATTCAGAAAGGATAAAGAAACCAACAGTTAAGTCTGGAATAACTTGAAGTAACATATTTGTCCAATATTAAAAGGACTCAGCCCTGGCTGGTTTGGCTCAGTGGTTAGAGCATCAGTCCTCAGACTAAAGGGTCCTGGGTTTGATTCTGGCCAAGGGCAAGTACCTGGGTTGCAGGCTCGATCCCCAGGTTGGGCAGCGTGCAGGAGGCAACCAATCCATGTCTCTCTCTCACATCGATGTTTCTCTCCCTCCCCCTTCCACTCTCTCTGAAAAGCAATGAAAAAAATATCATCGGGTGAGGATTAAAAAAATAAACTTACCTGGGCAAAACCAACAAAGTGTATATAAAAAAAGGACTCATAACATCACAGACTGTAAATAGGCAGACTGTCTTGAGTTTTGTTGGCATACAAACTTTGAAAACCACACACATGGCTCTCCTTTCTTCAAGGCAACTAATAGCTAATGCAGAGCTTCCACGACCTGTTTGGAAAGAGTATGTACTATCTAGGTCTGTGAAGTAGGCTGAACAATGGCCTTCAAGGATGTCCATATCCTAATCCCTGGAACTTGTGAATGTAACCTTACTTGGCAAAAGAGAGTTTGCAGATATGATTAAATTAAGGATCCTGAGATGAGAAGATTATCCTGGATTATCTGGTGGGGCCCTAAATGTAATCACATATGTCCTTAAAAAAGCAGGGCAGAGGGATATGGTATAGAAAAAAAGGTGGCAAAGGGATCACAGAAGCAGAGATTGAAGTGATGTGGCCACAAGCCAAGGAACACTGGCAGCAACCAGAAACTGGAAGAGGCAAGGAATAGATTCTCTCCTAGGACCTTCAAAAGGAACCAGCCCTGCAAGATTCATTTTGAACTCTGATCTCCATACTACAAGAGAATAAATTTGTGTTGTTTTAAGCCAATATATTTTTGGTAATTTGTTATAGCAGCAACAGGACACTAATACACCCTGTGTATGTTTGAGCGTGTAATTTAACCCAGCTCTCTCTTACTTGACAACTGAGGCTACAGAGCCCTGACTTGCCCAAGACACTCAAGCAGTTCTTTGAATAACTCAGTCCCTAGTCTGTAGTCTAATGCTCTTATTACACACTACCTGAACTTTTCCCAAGAAAAGACAGGTCAGAGGACTTCCCAGTTATGCTTGGATCCAGAAGTAAAAAAAAAAAAAAAAAAAAAGCTATGGAGTGGGGGTACATTGTTGAGCAGCAGCTCTTAACCTTTTGGGGAGGGTTAGACCCCCCTGGAAAAGTTGATGGAAGGTGTACTCTCCCAGAAAACACAAGGGCACATTTTGTATACACCATCAGGAGTTCATGGACTTCAGGTTAAGAAACCTTGCTCTGCACAGAAAAAGCATTTAAGAAGAAACAGAGGCAAAGTCAAACCTATAGGTTCACAAGTCAGTCTTGCCACAGTTCTGCAGACACACTGGAGAAACAGAACTGAGGGCAAGAATTCCATAGAATAAAGTTACACAGGGTCCAGTCGTGAAAAGACTAGGAAAATAAAATTCTGAAGAAATAAAAAGTATTAAAGCTTGGGGTAAAGAATGCTCTCCACCCACCAGGAAAATGAAGTTTTTCGCCTGTTTCCACTCAGGTATCATTCTTACTGGAACTCAATTAAGAAAAGGTGTTGTTAATTTACTTCTGAGCGTTTTAAATTGTTGGATCCTGATCTGTTGAATGACGATCTGTGAATGCCCTTTAGACAGGTCTAATTCTACTTGGATTATTTCTCTGAGATTAGACGGTATTTTAAAGCTCTTCCAAAAACACAACTTTAAAACAAATCCAACGCGTGATTTAGACTGGTTCATCCAGGCTACTTCTCTGTTACTGACAACTGACCTGAGGTTGTAAGAGACTTAAACATACCCGTGGAAGAACTGTTTTTACAAGGAAGAGTGTTTGCCCCCAGCAATCTGTGGGAAGAGTCTGGGATAGACAAAGAAAACCCCGAGGAAGATGCCGAGTTGCAGGGTAAGGCAAGGCCGGAGCACCGGCAGGAAGGCGGGAGGATAGCGGAGGCAGAACTGGGACGCTGCGTGGGCGCGGTGGGCGCGAGGGCCGAGGAGAGCAGTCAAGGGGACGCTGGGCACGACCGCAGCGCGCGGAGGGGGCCCAAACTCGGCGGCCCACGGCCACGACCGACCGGGGCCCTCACCTCGATGGGGTAGAGTTCGCGCGGCAGCACCGCCTGCAGGTCCAAGAGCAGGGTGATGGGGATGTGGGAGAGGAAGTAGAACCCCAGCAGCCACTCCAGGCCGCGCCGGGCGCCCAGAGTCCCCATCATCCGTTGGTAGGGCCGGGTGGGAGTAGACGACACGCTCGCCGGGACCGCCGACGTGGGAAGAGAGCACCAGCCCGCGCGCCGTCCCGAGACCCTGTGCCAGGCCGCTCGCCCCGCCCCCCTTGAAGGCTACGCCAGCCGCTTCCATTGGCTGCCATGGAAAAACGCGCGTCCATTGGCTCGTCCGAGTATAGCGTGTCCAGAAGACAGGCAGGGGCGGGGCTCCCCGCCACCTGGCGGACCGAGTGACGGAGGGGCGTGCCGGGGGCGGGGCTTGCGGCGGCTGCCCACCCGGGCCTCTTCCCTCCTAAGTCCGCTCACTCCCTCTCGGTTCAGCGCGTAAAGAGCGCCCGCAGGGCCCCGATGGAGATGCAGCCCTAAGGCAGGCGGAGTGCCACAGACCAGGGCGGTCCCGACGGCGCGTCGTGATCCGCGCCTGGCGCGGCAGTCCCGGACTTGGGAACACCCGGCAAGATCCCTGCCCCGCCGGAGTTGAGGGGACCCGCAGGCCTTCCAAAGGATGCGTGGGAGGCAGCCAGCCTCGACTGAAAAAAGCAGAGGGTTATAGTAGGAGGTGAAACTGGCAGGTCTTGGTGATTGGCTGTGGAGAATGAGGGAGGATGGAGGATTCATTTATTCATTCAGCAAATACTCATCTTTATATGCCGGACCCAGGTCTGCTCTGGAACAGAATGGACGGGGCTGCCTTTCGCGGAGAAGAGGGACGGAGAAGAGGGACACAAAGAAGGGAGTTGAAGGGAAAGTAATTTGTTTCTGGCCATGGTGACATTAAGTAGCCCCTGCAACACCTGGGTGAAGTCCAGTCGGCATCTGGACGAACCTGCCTGGAGATGCAGATTTACGAGCATTAACGTTTGGTGGGAGTTGAAGTTCTGCGATCAGAAGGCCTGTAAGAGAACAGCAGGAGAGTGATAGTACAGAAACGGGGGCAGAGGTAGGCCCGCTGTCAGAGCGGCGCGGCGTGGTACCCCCTGGTGGCCCTGTGCAGCAGCTGCGGGGGTGGAGGCAGGAGCTAGATGACAGCAGGGCCAGGAGTAAGGAAGCAGGAAACGGAGACACGGAGTGTAGATACCTGGTTATGAAGGGGAGAGAGAGGGCAATAGCTGGAAGGACATGTGCTCACGAAAGGAGGCTTATTTTCAAATGAGGAAGACTTTTGAGCACTTTTGCTTATTTAGATGCTGTTGGAAATTTTGGGGACGGGGAACAGGTTGTCCATACAGGAGGAAGAGGGCAGGAAATGTGGCTCCAGGCCCCCGAGGAACTGGAGAGAATAGAAGGGTTAGGGTTAGGTCAGAGGAGCTCTGTGCTCCCTGGGTTAGGCCCCATGGGGGACTAGGACAGAGATATTGCTGGCAGTGTAGAGGGCCCAGCTGATGTGCGTGGCCATTGTTCTGAAGGCCCCAATCTTCTAAGCTGTGTGCTTTACTCCACTGTGAGATCTGCTAAAAAAACAAAACAGAACAAAAAAACCCCCGGCTCAGCTGGCATGGCTCAGTCCTTGAGCATGGAGATCACCTAGAACCAGGAGATCACAGTCTGCGTTGCAGGTTTGATCCCTACTGGGGGTGTGTGGGAGGCAGTCAATCAATGATTCTCATCATTGATGTTTCTTTCTCTCCCCTTTCCTTCCTCTCTCTGAAATCTATTTTTTAAAAAAGAAAGAAGGCGGCTGTTGGACTCATCCAGGTTGGGGTTCAGGAAGACAATGGTGATTTTGAGAAGTTGAACTAGTGATTGATGAGATGGAGGGTGCAGTTCAATCTGGATAGGATATGAGCACCATGAGGCCAAAAGGGCTGGTAGAGAGGAAGTGGCAGAATGAATGGGTTTGAGGCTGAGGAAGCAGTGCTAGTGTGATGAGAGTAACTGGATGAATGAGCCAGAAGGGTGGGAGATGATGATAAGGGGGTGCAATGTCTGAGTTCCTGGTGTCAGGAAAGGTTCTGCCCATGAGAACGTGTGACTGAAATAGAGTGAAGGGGAAGGTCTTTGGAGATGAGGTCAAGGGACAGAGAGAGCCCAGAGAATGGGCTAGATTGATTGCAAAGGCCACCTAGGATGGTGGTGGCAGTTGGGTGGGGAGAAGACTGAGCCCATTGCCAAAGTCTTGGTTATAAAAGGGGAATCCCCAGGAGGAAGATGGCCATGGGCTGAGGTATGGCTCAAATCTCAGAGTGGAGGGGAAACGGGTGAATGTGGTCTTGGGGAGCAGGGAGGCTGGTGACCCCACCTCTGGACCCTGAGCTTGTGGAATGTGAGAGAATGAACAGCCTATCCTGGAGAGAGCTGGGGGAAGCTGAGACCTTGGGGAGCAGGGGGAGCCAGGTGTCAGTTACAGCAGATCAAAGCTGAGGGTGTGGGCTCTGGGGAGGAGGAGGGGTGGCTTACTAGGGAGGACAGTCAGCAGGGTGGAAGGAGAGCACAGCAGGTGAGAGAGGTGGAGGGTGCTTCTGGGGCGGTGAGCAGGAGTGAACGTCATGGGTGGCAGAACACTGTCAGCACACCAAGCTCCGGCATTCCCAGGGTGTCTCAGGGGAAGGCTCCCCCTTCCAAAAATAGCTTTCAGGACAGGGCAGCACCTTTAAAGCTGGACTGCTTGCTGCAGGAGGGGTGTGCGATTTGCCCAGAGACTGTGGTAAGTGTATACAGCTGTTAAGGAGACTGTTCCTCAAACAACATCTCACCCAGCCAAGTTTGTTATCTGTAGATAAAGACTTTCAAGGCCAAGCACTTTCACTGGAAGGCCCCTTCATCCAAAAAAATATGCCCAGCTGCTGTCTTCTGTTTGAAATTTCTCTAGTGGGGGAACTGAAATTCTTAATTTCATGAGTTCAGGTAAGTGATAGAAGGCGAGGTGGAGGTGGCCCTGGGGTGGAGGACATGGCTAGTCAGCAGATTCCTCATCCAAAGCAAGCGTGGAGTGAAAGAATGAGGGAGAAAAGGCAGCGCTTAGAACCTTTTGAAAATTATTTGTATTGTGATGAGACAAATACCATAAGCCCAACAACAGACGCGTGCTAGTCCAAACACTTTCTTCTTTGGCAGCAACTGTACAAAGCTTTTTCCTCTCGTCTTTGCTTTTGTTTCACTTTTCTCTCTCTTTAAAATGCACCCACCCTTCTCACCTCCCCCCATTCCCCCAATCCCTTAAAATACTTTAAGGCCCAGCTGAAGGCCACCTCTCCCGACTGCCCTGATTTGGTGTCATTGCTGCCATCTCTGAACCTCTTCACTCTGAGCAACACTGATCTGAGTACCTTTCCTGTTAGACTGTAGGGTCCTTGACAGCAAAGACTGTATCTTTGGCATCTTTATTTGACTAACACAAAGCTGAGGCGGTTGTTGTTGCTGAGTGAACTAAATATGAAAGTCAGACTCCTCTGCCACTCGAAGACTGCCACGCAGTGCAACTGTGAAGGGAACAGCCAACCAGCGGTGAGATGGAATGTATCACATTGCAAGAGGCTCTGCTGCTAATGGAAAATGATAAGACCTGGAAAGCCACTGAGACTCTAGGATCAGCAGATGGCTTCACACTTCAAAGCCAAAACATTATTATATATTCATTAGCAAAAGCTAAGATTCTGTCAGTCCCAGCTGTGTGGGGGAAGATTCAGAATGTTCTTTCTTGAGATCTGTGGGTTTCACTGAGGCAGAGGGCAGCTGACCAGCTGTCTTGAGTGATTACCTCCTTTTCATGTAAAAAAACCTGTGAACTTGGGTGGAGGGACAGTTCTGGAAGACTTAGTTTAAAATGTGGATATTTTGTTTTTCATATATCTTTCCGCATTTTTATTTTTAAAAATATTGCATTAAAACATTATTTATTCTGATTACTGAGTTATCTTGGTGCCTACCTAAGTCTCACTCATCTCACCCTAGTCCCAGCCCTGGTTGTCAGGCAGGAGTGGGGAGAGGGGGTCCCCATTACTGGGTCTGGAAAGCTAAGAGCCAGTAGATTTGATATCAGGGCAGTAAAGAGACAATGGGAGATCTTGAGCAAGACAATTTAGGAATATTTTAGAAATATTCAATGTGCAAGGTGGACTGGTGGGGAGGGCAGTCTGGAAGTGAGATACTGGAATTTGTATAGTAGGATCATGTGATTCCAGTTTAGTGGCTAAAAAAGGAAAGAACTGGAGGTATTAAAGTCACAGCATTTTTCAAGGTAGATGTGCCTCAAATACAGTTGGTGGTGGAAGTGAAGGGGCCTGTTTAATGGAAGAGTTACCAGCTCTCACTCACTTAAGGAGTGCCTACTGTATACTGAGCAGGGGTTAGCAAACTTTTACTCTAAGGTGCCAGACAATAAATATTTTAGATTTTGTGGGCGAATCTTTGACCCTTTGTTATGCTGCCCTTTCTTATGTGAAAGCAGCTATAGACAATATGTACATGAATAAATTTGGCCATGTTCCAATAAAACTTTATTTATAAAAACAGGCATAGGGTCTGATTTGACCTGTGGTGGTTGTAGTTTACTGACCCCTGCTCTAAGGCATTGTCATCTTCATGGTCAAGGCCACGTGGCCATGAGTTTAATTAGTAAGTGAAAAGAAAGCACAGAGGGAGTGCATCCAACATCCTAAGACTTATGTCAGTAAGTGGCACACACCCCTTCTAATCACATTCCATTGAAGACAAGTTAGACATGTACCCACATCTTACCACCAGGGGTCTGGGAATATAGTCTGGCCTTGTGTCGGGGAAGAAGGAGATTTCAGTGGTCCATGAACAGTCTTTCCCTCAGATTCCTTTAGGGCAGCTGCAGAACCTTCATGGAAGGTATGTTCACATACTCAAATAAATTTTGATGAATCTTTCAATATGGATGAATCTGTTTGGGGTGGAAAAGAAAATGCCAAGTGGAAAAGGAATGACAGAATTAGGAAATCACTATTTTCCAACCACTAACGTAATAAATTGGGGCAAAGATCATCAATGGGTGGCACTGGATGGAAGTTTGTTGAGGAGTAAGATGTAGTCTCAAAATCTCTCTCCACAGATTACTTGATACAAAGGGAAAAGGCACCTTTCCA